CATTACATTTTCCTTATTTGGAGAAATTTTATATAACACAGGGTTGAAGCAGATGCAAGTATAGAAAATTCTTGCATGGCTACAGCAACAGTATTCTGTATGCTTGTTTGGTGTACTTGGCTCACATCTTCCTGTGTCTTCCCAGTCTAGTTAAGCTCAACTGGTTCTTTACAAACCATTTCATTATCTTTTGTTTGGTTGCTTTGTCTGCTTACTGTAAACATACCTACTGTATATGTTGTGGTGTTGGAGGGCAGCAACGCTGTAAAAACTTTCCCACAGTGAACTGCAAGTGGTGGTGTGAGTTCAAAAAATAAATTCAACTTCTTCCATGCTGACAAACAATCTTGGTGTGCTTTAAAGTTCTTCCACTAAGACTGCAGAAGCAGCATTCAAGTGAACTTCCCTACAAATTATGATGGTAGATAAGACTCAAATTTCCTGAAGCTACTCAGCAGTTATTTCTGTGGGGAACGTGCTGGCTAGCTGGGTTTGTTAGATTAAAGTAAGAACTTAGGGCAAGGTTCAGTTTAGTTGTTTACCATTTCAAAATCTTAAGTGTTCTTAACTCTTTCATGTGTGTTTTTCCATCCTTGTTTTGAAAACAATTACGTTTTGTCTTTGAAGAAGCTTACAGGGGGAATGTGCAAAAAGCCTGCTGATCCAAATATTTTTTTTTCCTGAGTCTTAATATATACAGTGTACCTTCTGACTCCGTTTCTGAACTGTAATAAGCTACAATGTTATTGAAGTTAAGTATACCTTGATAAACATCTTCTGAAGAACAAAATGTGTCTTTGGGAGAGTAGAACAGGGCCATTACAGTAACATAGCTGCTGTTGTGATATTTACTGTGTCAAAAGAATAGAACCTTTGGTATAACTTTCTGGTTTATAACTGACATAAAGCCTGTATACCGATTTCATCCTGAGGGTGAAATATGGCTGACATCCTGAGGATGAGTCTTGTGGAAGTATTCTGTGCCCAGAGATGTGCTTTTTCTTGCACTGTCCTGGCTTTTGGGGGAAAACATCTCAGAGCACGTTTCCCATAGTGCCTGATGTATGGCTTACTGGAGGAACTGAGTCTTTGGGTCCTGTTTGCATCCATGCTTAAGGAAAAGGAGAAAATCCAGGCACTTCTCATGTTCATGGTAGCATCGTACATGTGTGTTGCATGGGTTAGAGATCTGCCTAACAGCCCAGGTTTTAATGGCTTCCTGTTGTGCTTCGGGGAATTTTTCTATTGGTAAAGAAATAAGCTTGTAGGTAGCATAACCTAGTGTATTAAGAGTTGTGGAAATATTTAAATAAATGATATGTATTGAAGTAGCGAGTGGAATATGAGGTGTCTTCTATGGATTGTGGACAGATGGACTGTACATACAGAATGTGGATAGCCTTTAAGCTATCCCAGTAAGCCAGCCAGTAAGACAAAGTAGTATCTAGGATCAAAAGGTTCATTTCAATGCTTTTCTTATTGCCTACATTGGTAGCTTTAAATTGTATATGTAGTTTTGTCCATTGTAGGTGATGTTAAAATAAATAGGTATTGAAAATGTTGAATATAAAAATTATGGCTAATTTAGCTCAAATGAAGTTTGTGTGTGTGCTGTGTTTTTGTGCTGGATTTCTGCCTTCCCTTTCTGAGCTCATGAGAATAGACATTTTCATAAAGGAGATTATTTCTGTTCAGTATTTTTTTTTCTCTTATTGGGGATCTGATTCTGCATAGCTTTCCCATAATCAAGACTTTAGTTAGTTTGTGAGGACTCAAGTAGTAGAAGGTGACCATGACAACCCTCACAAATCGAAACATGATTTGTTGTCTGTTTGACTGACAAATAGAACAGGAGAATCCAAAATCTCTTATGCAAAGAAATTTGAAATGTCACTCTTATTAAGAAGCGGTATTTACAAATAAGAGCTCAGTTCTAGTTCAGATAAAGATGTCTTTCATGATGACATTTATTTAGTTCGTAGCCTTTAAAAAAGCATCATGTGATTTACTGTTCTTCCTGTGGCAGCCCTTCAGTTTCATGCATATGTATTTTGATTCATCTTTGACCTTTTGCTTATTATTTTTAAATTTGCATGTTTCTCATAAATACAAGCTTTTTTTCTTTTTTGGGGCATTCTTTACTGTGATATTGCCTCTTTAATGTGGTATAATTCTGAGAACAAGAAGTTTTGCAGAAGACCAGCATGAAAAGAATGAATGTTGAGACATTAAATGTTTACAGATCAGTTTAAGTGGATATAATCCACAACAAGTAACAAAGTGGGAACATTTAACTTCAAAGCACATATGGCTGCTGTTACAAAATCTGAAAATACAAGGCTTAGACCATACAAACTATTAAATAGAGTGTCACTTTGCTGCCTTTTCTTAAACAAGAAAGGTATACCTTAGCTATTTAGATCGATTTTGAAATAAAGACTGCAAACGGCTTAATTTCAGATAAAAGTATCTGAATTAATTGTAAATATTTAGAATAATTTTCATCTTTAAAAAGCAAAATTAAAGAATTGAATTCATGCTGTGTGAGAGAAGGGTTTTGGAAAATTTTGCCTTTGAAATTTGGTCCTGCAGCCTTAGTTTTCATCAATACCAAGTGGAATTTTGCAGAAGCTAAAACTTTCAATGTTTGAGATTAGCTGCTGTTCAGTTTTATAGGGAGCCAGATTACGGATTTACCTAGAACTAGGCTTTTGGAAAGCTTTCCTTTCAGCTCTGGATGTCTGTTTAGGTGATGGTTTGGGGGGATGTGTGTGTGTGTGTAGGGATGTAAAGGAAGTTAAGTATGTCAGAAGAAAGAATGCCATACTACTAAAGGTAGAGAGTTTCAGGTATAAAATACTGTGTTAGGTGCAAAAGTTTAGGACAAACAAAAGCTCATCCTCTGATATTTTCTGTTTTAGAATTTCTGTACTTTTTATTTGCATCTCTCCTTTGATTCTTTCTTCTATGGTACGCACGCTTCATGATGTTCTGACTTCCGTGTCTCTCCTCATCAGTTTCTTCTTGTTTTCTGTACACAAAATCAAAAATAATTTTTTCATGGCAGGGGGGTATAGAAGTCCTTTATTTATTGATGTATCTCCATGTTTTTTGGCATGCCAATCAAATGACTGGAATGCTTTATATGGAAGAAGGTTTAATGTGTCTGCTTTAGTAAATTCATTAAAGATAAATGGGCATAGATTATTCCTCAAATTCTTGTTCATCTTAGACATTCAACTACACCATTAAGAATATTTGATAATACCATTCATTGTAACTGCATCTATGTGTTTAAAACATGAGAATATCTACGACTACTTCTAGGTGAAATGGAATGACTTCAACAGCACATAGAAATCCTATATAACATTTTAGGACAGGAAATAAATATACTGTAACAAATTGAAGTTTCAGAGAGATTAGATCTTGTTTTCACTTATAAATTCAACACACAAATGTATTTAATGGTGCTGAAAAAAGCAAGCGTTTTTTATACATTTGCCATGCCTCATAGATCACTGTTATCTTTTTTGGAGAAAAAAAAAAAAAGTTGTAAGATGTGTATTGCAATTATGTTCTTATTCCAAATCTCACTGTTACATTTTACAAGTTCATACCCTTGAAAGCTTTTCTTGGGTGTTATGCATTGAGTGATGTGATGCTCAAGTCTTGTCATCTGAGGAAATTAAAAAGATATAGCTGTCTGATAGAGGAAGTGGGTTATGAACCATGTTTTGTATTCGGTTCTTAAAAATAGGCATTGAAAGAGCTGTTTTAATTATACAGTGCTGTTAATGAATTATTTCTTTATGCTTTTTCTGAGTTACAAATGTGGATGTAGTTTCAATGTACTCAAACACAACTTTTCAGAAAAACTAGATTGGAGTTATTGTAATCAGTAAATTTATTTTAGCTTTATGCCAATTTAAATGAAGTAAATCTGATATTTTTTATATAAGCTATACGTTTATCTGCCTATTTCTTGTAAAACATGCGTAGATTGAATTTGTGCGACCATAAAGGTTTGAAAAACTTACGAATATTTTGTCTGTAACTTGCACCAACCTGCAGCTAATTTAAAAAAAAAAAAAAAAAAAAGTAAATTAAGTAAATCCTACCTTAAATGCTGTTTTGTGGACTATCATCTGAGCAATTTCAAAGCCGTTGGCATGTTTTGATACTAAGATAAATCATTTAAAATCTCAGGACTTCAGCTAAAGATGTATGTTTTCTCCAGCCTTAAAAAACTTATTGCAAAATTTTAACACATTCTTTAAGGGAAGAAAGTTCAAGAGCTTTTTTTGACCTTGTTATTTTGAATTTCATCTTGAAGTCAATTTTGTAGGCTGGGATTTTTTTCTTTAATTTTGAAATTTATTTCCAGGTTTCCGATACTTTCTGCAAAAGTGCATTTTTGCTGCATTTATGTACAAAAAACATTTCATAGTTTTGTACCTTGCTGAGTAGGTCATGTCCAACAAAATCTATTTTGAAGATTTTCTATTTTTAAAACTTGTAAACGATTGCAGTATGTTATTAGAGGTTTGAATTCTGATGAATGGTTTTGTCAGAGATCATTGAAATCTACCAAAGGAGAAAGAATTACGCACATGGAAATTCATTGGCTTTTTTCTTCTAGGCTAGAGCCATGGTATACTTTGTGTCTAGATTGTGTTAGTTGCTAGCAGATTAAGTATACTTTAATAGATTACCACATTTTCTAGTGAAAAGCAGTTCTTTAAACTGGTCTGTACGTCTGGATGCATGTTAAGTCTATTCTACTGTTGTCCTTTATAATGATGCAGTTTGTGTTAATAGACCCTCCCTGAAACAGATTACATGCCACATGTGTGTTCACACCCAAAAATCATTATTGTAAACATTTTTGAATATTTGGAGATAGACACTTTCTTAAGATAATTATTTTTTTTATAAGGAAAAAATAAGACATTGATGTTACAAAGAAACCTCATTAACCATGGCATCTTATTTTTCAGCTAGAAAATCCAAGATATTTGAGGGAGAAACCTATGCCAGTGTCTTTGGTAGGTATTTGTATTCCACTGATGTTTTAGAAGGGCAAGCAAATACGCTTCGTGTGTGTGTGTGTGTATATATATATATATATATAAATACTTACTTAGGAAGGGTTTGACTTAAAGATGCTGCTTTGAACTTAAAATCTGTTTTTTCTCATTCAATAGACAAAGCCTAAAATGAGTTTAGGAAAAAATAGCACTCTTCGTGATGAACAGACACTATTTCAAATGCATGAAAAGGAGGTAAGATGTTATTTAGTCCTTTCAAAAAAAAAAAAAAAAAAGACCACACAGCCGAATTAGTAAATTAGGGTGGTTATTCACAAAGCACTTTGTTATAGCAGAAAATCTCATGTAAGAGCATTTTTCTTGAAGTGATAGCTTTTCCATTAAATACTTTAATGTCTTTCCAATTAATTGGGAAGTAGAGCATCAATATGTTCAGAATGTCTTTTTTTGGATGGGATTGTAGTGTAGAAAAGTTTGCAATCAAAGAATATTCCAAACTACCTTTTAGGAGGAGCAGTGGAACTTCTGATTTGTCAAGGTTTTTTTGTTTACTTTCTTATGTATCTTTAAAAATTTGCAGATTTAGATCTTATTAATACTAACTTTATTTCTAACATTTGTCTTGTCCATCTCCACTTCTCTTTTTATTTGGGTTTTTGTATTATTTGTTTATCACCATTAATACGCAAGATTATCACAAAAGCTTGCTGAATTCTTTTTTACTGTGTTGATCTATTTTGAATGTTAAAATAAGTTTTCATTTAAATTTTTTTTAAAGACTGAGTTTTCTACTTATACTTTTGTAATAAATTGTTAATTTCAGGAACAATTAAAACATCAAAAACATCAGTCATGAGGTAAAACTCATTCATAGATTCTTCTGAAATCAAATAAGCCTTACATACTTTTTGGAAAGTCAATGAATTGAGTCTGATGGACCAGACTTCATGAAAGCGAACTCAACTTACACTGAGGGAGGTTGGTGGGAGCGTGGAAAAGGCACCAACAAGAAGCCCAAGCTGTGCCCTCCCCACTTTTCCCTTCAAAACTCTCTTTTTGACCGTATACTCTTGTAAAATCAAGGTGTAGGTTGGCAATTTGCTAAACTGTCCTCAAATACTTGGGGATCTACCTGGAACTTTAAGTATATCAAGAGTTGGACCATCATCTGCAGGCTGTGAAATTGTGCCTCCTTTTGTATGGTATGTCATAAGGACGCGTATGAATTAGATCTGTCCTAAAGTTACTTTCAAAGACACTTCAGAGGACATCTTTAACTGAGATGCAAGGATGGATAAATTTGGTTTGCAGATAATTTAATGAGGTAATGCTTTATGTTGATAGCTAGCAGTGTAATTTGATGCTTAAACAAGCAACAAGAAATGCCAGTCACACAATACATATGCTTTTCACTTTCTCTGCCTTGTTCTAGTGTTCACTGTCCCTTTGTGTTGACTATATTCAAACCACCATTGCCTCAGGATGAGGCAAGGCATATTTCATAAGATGTGAAAATAGACCAAAACCAAATAAATTACAAGCACAATGTTGTCATTTAAATAATATTTTGAAATTAAACAAACAGGAATGCATGCCAAGGAGCTATATAAAATCCTCAGCAAATGGTTCTCTAGTTCTGTGGAAAAATTCTGTAAACCACACAGTAAAAATTCGGTACTTTTTTCCTCATGGTACTGTACTGTGGACTAGTTTAAACTTTAAAAGTTATAGAAAGTATTTCACAATCATCATGTGTGTGCTGTTAACTAGAAAAATTAAATGTTTTTTCATCTTTTCCTGTGAAGCTCAATTAAGAATGAGGTCTTTTCATTTATAGAATGAAAATGTAATAACTTAGAAGTAGTGCTGTGCAAAGGAGATTCTTCTAAATGTTTAAGTGTTTTCAACTTCTTTGTAGTAAAACAGGATAACATAAAACATAAAAGATAAGTAATACATAAAATAGGATAAGGAGTGTTTTTTGTGTGTTTTGTTTTTTTTTTTTTGTTTTTTTTTTTTTTGCTTTAACCTTTAGCCCTTTGTTCATAAGCCATTCCTGCACCTGTTTTGCCTGTAATGCTAAACACATGGCTATTTGCAATGATAACCACATCACAGATATATGAAAATGTGAATGTCATCAGGCAGTGGTTTTTGGTCATATTTTCCCCAAATTCTTCTGACATGGATTAAACCATTTGGGAAACTGTCATTACCAAAATATTTTGGACTCAAACAAGAAAGATGCAGCAAGACAGGAGTATGTCTGTTTTTAGCATTAAAGAAAAACAGAACAGATGGCAGAAATGGCATATCTTGATAAATAGGAAAAAGCCTCCCTTTGAACTTCACCTTCCATCTTTCAGAGTGCCACCCAATACACCATGGAATGGAGGAGGGTAAAAAGTGAAGTTCTTATTTGTGATTTTTTTTTGTTGTTTTCAAAAAAACAAAACCAACACCATTGTGAAGATATGGTTTTGAAATTCTTTTTGAGTGGAAGACAAGGCTAGCTATTAAATGTCAATTTTGTGTGTGTGTGTTTTAACCTCAGACAACTAATTTAGGTGATTTTAAAAAAAAAAAAAAAAGTTGCCCTAGAAGTCTTGATATTTCTTTAAAGAATCTTTGTTTCTTAATTTTTCATTTTATGATTCTTAGTTTAAGGATTTTAATCAATTTTCCCCTGTAGTTTTATTTCTGTAAATAAAAATGTTGCTATATTTAGACTCAAAAAATGAAGTCTAAATCTGAAGCAAGAATATTTGAGAATATTTTCTATTTTGAGTCTTTGAATTTGAAGGTTATAATAGCACCTTTAGAACTTTTTTAAATTTTTTTTTTAGACAAGCTCAATGCTTTATACAATAACTGAGCTGTGAAGGTTCATCTGTCTGGGACGGTTGAAAATACTTGATGTTTGTAATGTTCTTGTTGACTTTATCATGTTCTCCTGTCACTTTTCTGTGTTAATTTTTTGGGAATCTGAAAAAGTCTTTGGATGCTGGAGTGCAGGTGCCTTCCCAGCCTCTTGAATACTAAAGCATTCTGGCAGAAACTTGCAGTCATCTTTCCTATAATCAGCTGGAGTAGTATTTAGTGCAGTGCAACTGGAGGGAGAGGTAATCCTGGGGAATGCAAAGGATGATGTTCAAGAGGATATAGAATACCTGCCGGATGATTTGCACTCATTCCTCCTGTGGAATGAGGACTCATGACGACGGAGTCGGTGCTGAGGGAAGGAGATGAGCTGGATCGTGAAAGATTATGTACAGAGAATTGAAAAAAGGTTTTAAAAAAAGGGAGGCAAATGAGGGGAAAAAGAGGCCTATTTGGAGCCTTATCTTTGTAATCATTTTCATGATTTTGTTTTATTTATTTTTTAGTGGTCACTCCCATTTGTTACCTTCCACAAATTTTGTTTATAAGCTCATTGAAGCCATGCGTATACTTCTACTGCACCAAAACGTGTTGAGATCTAGAGAAATATTTGCATCTAGATAGAAATCAGCATGCTGCGGTGATAATGTTATAGTTAAGTTTTGGGCTGGCTGAAAGTGTCCTGAATTTGAGGTGTTGAAATCAGCAGATTTACTGAGCTCACTTTGCTGGTGGGAGAGTATAACTTGGAATGGAGAGAATGGCATTAAGGGCTGTGATATGCATCTTCACCCGATATGGAACATACACAGGGTATAGAGCAAAGAGAATAGAGGGAGGAAAGGAAGTTATAGAAATTGGGTGCGAGAGGGAATGCTGCTGGTTACCATAGAAAAGAGGAGAGGTTTTAGAAAGGAAGAAAGAGAAAACCCTTGAAGATAAAACACGTACAGTTGTAATTAGAAGGAGGCAGGTGTCCTGAGCAGCAATGAAGCAAAAGTGATCATATCATGGGAGGTGGTTAGTTTAATGGCAATGAGACTGTGACTATAATCTCAACAGCAGGCTAACCTTGTTTTTTCTTTTCAGTAGGTTTATGAAGGGGTCAATGAGCATCATCTTTTTTATGCTTTTAATTTTTTTCTCTTAATTCCTTTCTTCCATGGGAAAGTATTTAAGTATTGAATTAGACATTTAATGCATACCAGATTAAGAGCAATAAATAAAACTAACATGGAAACAGCGTTCTAAAAGGACTCTTGCAATTAGCTTCGACTTTTAACAGTGTAAAACTAACGTTATTGTACTTTGAGACACATCATGGATTTGATATTTTCCCCTTATTGAAAACAGATATTTTGGTCATGTTTTCCAAATCTATCAGTATGTTCTTCTGAACACTTTAATGAAACAAAAATGTTTGTGTGTTCATGCACGTGTATGTCCCTCTAGGGTTTAAATGTGCACAGTAGATAGATATAGATATGTATGTATATGGAGTTGGGGGAGTTGAATATAGCTGAAGAAGAAACCTGAAAGATACCAAGTCTTTCAGAATTATGTTTGGAGATGAATATTGTTAAATAATTAATTTTGATAAAACCAAGCCACAGAAGGGACTGAACTTTTGTAATATATTTGAGGGTAGATTTTGGAAAAGTATCTACTTATGTGATGTGCGAGACTGTTCAAAAGTTGAAAGAAAGACCTGGAGATCATAGTCCCAGTCATCATTTTATCCAAGATATTTCTGTTAACTTTATTTTCCTTTTAGAAAGTCAATAGTGTTTGCCATTCAAACTGGTGTGAAAACTGAGGTTTCGTCACAAATTACAGAGGAATTTCTTATAAGTTCATGTTAATGTGCACTTCTTTCTGAAGAAACCTGGCTAGTATCAAAGGTCAGCGCAGAGGTAAATTTGGTAGGCGTATATTAGTAGAGCAAGGAACTGCATCTCACAATGCAAGACACCATTCCAACCATGTACTGATTGGAATTCAAAACATAGGCTTAATTAGTCAGTTTATCTGAAATCTTCTGCTTTTCTCCATAAGTGCTTGCAGTGCTAATCATTTCTTACTCAAATAGTTCCACCAGTACAGCTTTCATATTTTATTTGCAAGTTGCTTTAAGTTTTTTCTTTTTTTTTCCTCAATATGTACCCTGACTTGAATATAAATGAGTTTTATTTGTTGGGGTGGTAGTTTTTTTTTTTTTTTTTACTGTTTTACAAACAAGTAGTGTCAATTCAAAGATCTCCTCTCACATAGCAATTCACATGGGTTCAGGAAATTGGCTTAACTAAAAGGATATATATTTTGCAAGGAAGAGGCCCAAACTGCAATTGGAGTTTATGGATGATTGCACTGGAGACACTGAGAAAGAACAGAGAAAGTTTGGGCGTTTAGCCAAGGTTTATAGATTGTCGTCCTTTTTAATATTTCTATAGTTTGGTCCTGTTCAGGCTGTCTTGGACTGGTGAGCCTATTTATGCTTTTTTAAACTCGGTGATATTTATTAATAGTAGGAGAGCATTTTTATGGACTTTCTGAATACTCCTGAGTTGCAAAGGCATCTGTAGGGGGACCCAAAACTTGAATCATACGATAACTGGAGCTTCGTGGAGGTCCGTGGTCAACCGGAGGATCATGTGATGGAATTATTTTTTCTTCTGCTCCCTGTATTTTTTACTTCCACAACTCTTGCTTTACAGTTCTCCTTCTTTGATCTTAGGCCTTCCTGTTCACCCAGAACTGTCTAAGTTGCGCTGCTATTCATAAGCTTATTGCTGTTTTCAAAGTGGTAAAAGTAATTAGTTTTTAATTCTGGTGGATATTCTTTTTAAAACTTAAGAATGCATGCTAAATTCTGTTCACACAAGACCATAAGGTAATTTGACCCATGTTTTATCTAGTCCTCATCTTATCTCCCGTAGTGACTGGCTTCAGAGGAAAGTGCAAGAAAATGAAAAAAGGCAGATGTGAGATAATTATTGCCGCCTTGTTTTTCATTTTCCATAACTTTTGACTGTTCTAATGATATCTGGGTTCTGAAAATACTGTTTCTTTTTCCTTAAAAAATATTCCAAGCAGTAAGTATTGTGATTTTGGATATTCTGTGGTTCATGTGAATTTTCTTTTTTATCCACAAACCTGACAGGTCTATTTGAATGCATTATCTGATTTATATTGGGAATTCATTTATAAACCTGTGACTCTCACCACCTAGTTATCCATTCTGAGTACTGATTTCTTAGTTCGTATTTAACAATGCAGCAATCATGACTTCTCTTAACGTGATTCCTGACTGATTAAAGTGCTGTTCCTGGGAACTTTATGCAAGTTGTCCATTGTGTTCAGTATGAGGAAATCTGAAGCTATCTACTCTGATAAACCTTCAGAATGTGATCTAATAAAACCAAAACCTTACTTTATTGCCAGACTGATGCGAGACGCACAGTGTATGCCAGGATGAGCCATGTTTTCACAAACTGACTTGTGACTTATAATTACTGATACTAATTGGTCTAGTCATGGAGATATATGTTTCTATGTATATTTATTTTTTTAGCAATAGCTTGTGACCTATGTCTTTAATTATTGCACATATGTGCTGGAGACATTGAGAAAGATCAAAGAGGTAGGTTCGCAATTCCAACTGGCGTTCCAACCAATAGAACGTCCAGATGGTTGTCAGGCAGCTGGGAATTAATCTTTGCTGCATAACACCAAGACAAATAAGTTTTGTTGTATATTGTAAACTATACAAGTCATTGTTTTACATTGTTAGTTCTTACTTTGAAGTTCTCATTTATTGTTTACATCCTTCTCCTCCCTTCCTCCCTCCTTCCCACATATATTCATAGACTTGGAAAAAATCTGGCAAGCAAACATGTACCATTTTGTCAAATATCTTCTCCCCCCACCCTCCCTGAAAAAACACTCTGGATGTTAAGCCTTCATGATGCCACCTCTGGCCCAAGGGTGATCACTGTAATGAAGACAAGTGAACAGTGATCAGTTCAAAGTTATCTCTGAACTACAGCCTCAAATTACTATTGTGAGTTTGCTTACCAATTTACTTTTAAATCCAGTATTTAAATAGATCAAATAGCTTGTATTCTTTCTACAAATTTTTGTAGCGACAAAGATGAATGTGTGTTTTACGAGGGGGAAAAATGTGGTATCACCTTTATTTTGCCGTAGATTTATGACAGCTGAAGATTATACTTCACCAATTTTAGTTGGACAGTTATTTAAATTTTATACCAAACCTGTGCCATGAAAATATAGGACAGTGGTATGATGAAAAGCCATTTTTGAGGTAACTTTTTTTTTTTCCTTCTTGTCTCTGTCTCCCTTTTTTTTTAATTAGGAAGAAAGTGTGACTAGGCATTTAAAAGCTGCTCTGTTGATACCACCCTCCATGGCTTTAAACAACAGGGACAGCACAGATGTTTGACATCAGTAATGTTTACATGGCCTTAGGGTTTAATTGCCTCATACTCTTTGCAAGGAGGATAAACAATGACAGAAATCCAAAGGAATGATGTTCAGGCTACAGCAATGGCTGCATTTCATACATAGTTGCAAGCTTTTTAGCTATAGCTAAATATCTATAAAATTATGTTTTATTTTGTTTTTTGTCTCAATGATAACATATCATAAATCTCCTGTTCTCAGGTGCTTGCATACTGATGATAAAAGGATACTGGTAATAGAGTATTACAGTTAATGAGTGTCAGGACAATTAATTGCTGCTTCTAACAACTGGAATGACTTGTTTGGGATTTTCGTGTAGGCAATTTCTTTTTAAGCATTCAAAAAAATTAATCCATTTGTTTTGTTACTACAGTGCTTCTTTAAGAGAGAACTTCTGTATCTGGGACACAATTTTCAAATTTTCTTTTGTTTATTTACAACTAATTCTCCTGAAACAAAGCTGACAAACCTTTTTGGGAAATAGTCCCCAAATCTGTGAAATACTAAGGGAGGCCCTATTGGAATCAGTGCAGTGAATATAAAATAAACTAAAATTCATGAAACTAGTACAAATGCAAGAATATTTTTAAGTGAAAGATTAATGACAAGAAGTGGGAGCCAACTGCTGGGACTTCTACAGGGACTTCTGCTGCCAGCCTGTGGGAAAACAGCCATGTGGCTGAGAGCAACCAACATCACTTTAAAATCTATGTCCACGTTTAATAAAGTCAAGTGTTAGAGTTTGATTTATTTTCATGTTCTTTTGACCTGCCAAATAAAAGCCTAGCCCAGATCTCAGCTAATGCAAAAGGCCAGGGATTATTTTACATCAGCTTAGACATCCTCACTTTGTTAATGACTAAAATGTAATGTGTTTGCATAGCCATTAAATCCATACAATGGCTGTGCATCAATAGTTCATAAACTTTTAATGCAATTCAAGTATTCAAGCTCTTTCGTATGTGGTTTCTAGTAATTGTATTTCTGTAAGAACCTCATATTTACTTAAAAAGTGTTCAGAGACTGTCTATCTAGAAGTGGATTATTGTGCTGTTTTTTAAATTGGCGTTTATCACATGGTAGTAAGATTTTCTTCTATAATGTCACTTTCCTGGAGGGATATAAGCATGTATTTTCTTATATACATATGCATATGTTTTATGTACGGAACATGCATTTTTATCATTGTGCTTATTTTAGCACTATGAAAGAGATAGCTATAAGATGCAAATACATTCCTTTTTCTTCGGATTAATCATCAACCCAATTTGGTTTTTTGCATAATTTTTTTTACAGGAGACTGCCTACCTAATCTTGGGTGATAGGTAGCCTCTTTATATGTGGTATAATAAGCAGGCATATTCTTTGGGTATCAGCGGATATGGAGTCTGAAAGTTGAAAGGATATTGTACCCTTACTTCTCCTCTTTCCAGCTGTTGACAAATCTTCTAAACTTACTGCACTGGGTTTTGTGTTTTCTAGTTGTTATGCTTTTGTAGCTCCCATGTTAACAGTATTATGTAATTCTGCAAGATGCAATGAACTGATACATAGCATAAATTAATCATAGAATAGAATTAATCATTTGACATATGTTTGTTTCTTTATTTTAGATAAAATATTCATGCTTGTCTTTGATAAACCAAATGACTGCCTTTGATGAATCAAAAGAGTAAAAATAAATGTGTGATGAGTAATGCTTATTGGCTCCTTTAAAGTTTGTTGAGAAGATGAGAAGTCAGGTTTTTAGTTGAGCTAAACTTTGGAAAACTGAAAATAGCTGAATGGTGCCTGGAGTTCAGTGTCCAGCTACAAGGAGAAGGCTCTCAGCACGTTTGGCTCTTAGCACATCCCGAAAGCAAACACAATTTTTTTTTTTTTTTCTTTTTCCCCTGTCAGCATCAGACCACTTAAGGACATCTTCTGGTGTGATACTGGTGCTCACACTTAAATGATTTTGGCCTGCCCTTTCTAAAGTGAAGGAGGTCATTAAGATCAGTCATTAAGATGCTTGGGAAGCTTTTTTGGCTGCTTTGCTCTCTGAACAGGAGAAATGATTAATTGTAGAAGTGCAATGGCCTAAATTTGAACCAGAGGCAGCATTTTTGCTCTTTATAAAACTTGGGGAAACAGAAAATACCTTTCATATTTGCAAACAGAGTCCTGAAAACACTCTTTGAAGGCATAGTGAAATTATGCAACAGATGAAAAATACTTTTAAGATGACAGCTGGGACTGTAATAAATGGCAATGTGTTGCTGTGTTAGGGAAGGGTTTTAAGTACACTACCTTCAACAAAAACAGAAGCAGGAAATGTACTTCAGCGATCTAATTCAAAGTTATATTCTTAATCCCTTTATAAGGAACCTTCCAAAGGAAATGTGCTTATAATGTGAAATCTCTGAATAATAGAAAACAAAAATAAACACTCGTGGACTACAGGATGTTCTTTGTATAAATGTAACACCTGTCTAAAGAATAAAAACATGCTTACCATTCCTGGTGTATTAACATAAATATTAAAAATTTAATTTGTGTTTATTTAAATAAAGGAGTATAATTCTTTTCTGGGCTGTAGCAGTTGTTTTTATCGCCAGCTAAAGCCTCTTGCAAATTTATTTTCTAAATAAAAAAGGTTTAGGTTGAGGTCTTTTGTAGCAGTTTTATCAAATAAATGTGAAAACACTGAGAAACTGGATGCAGTTTTTTTTTTTTAATATAAATTATTTGTTAATGCCTTCCCATTGCCTTCTTGAAGACATAAATGAATAATTTAAGGATATTTACTTTAAAGGATATTATTTAATTTGGTCTTTAACTTATGTGTTGATTTGATTTTTGCTTTTAAAGCTGGATATGAAAATAAAAATAGTAGAAGCTAAATTTCATGAGGAAAAGCTTAAATTACAGCAGAAGCATGATACTGATGTTCAAAAGGTAAGAACTGTAATTTTTTTTCTTTAAGGAAAAGATTATGTCACACAAAATAATAGAGAATCAGATTGGAGTAAATAATTCAAAGTGGTACTCATTTTTTTAACTTAGTAACTGTAATTGATATTACTTTAAAGTAAGAGTGTAGGTAACAGTTTGTATTAGCAGATAAGAATGTGGACTCTTCCATGACTGCACAAACTTGTGAAAGGAAAAATTTTGCAACATCAAGTGAAAATAAAAGATGATTTTTGCTTTTGTTTTAACAAGATCATCTATGTTACAGCCTAAAAATTTCTATGGGTTCATTTGATGATGAAATTGTAAATCTGTGGGTCCTCCCCCTCCCCGCCCCCCCCCGGCCCCAAACTGTTATTCTTTGTATTTCTCCTTTAAAATCTAATTGTTTTAAGTTATTTTTGTGCACATTTATCTATAATTCTGTGTTTAAAAAAGTTCATGAGTTAATTGCATGCTTTCTAATACAGCAGTAATGGTTGCTCTCACGTCTCTCTTTTTGACACTGTATCCTAAATCATAGGTTGTTTGGTAAACAGTTCTTTATTTATGTTATTGTAGCGTTAAAGCTTTCTATTACTTCTAATTCTTCACAGCAATAAAATGACACCAGATATACTTGCTTTGGGCTAAGTTGCATTTGTGCTTTTGTGAAGATTGCTAAAAGGCTGTCGAAGACTGTTACTTTCAATACAGAGTTGTAAACGTGTGGGGTCAAATTCTGTGTGGGACTAAGGGCCTTCTGAAATCTGCTTTAATTCCCATGAATTTAATGGAAGTTAAATGCTCAGCACCAGGATCGGATTCATGATGACTTATCCTACTGTAAGTGCTGTGTTGCTGAGTGTTTTGGTTTTGTTTCTTAAAACTGACTCACAGACCTGAAGGAAGTCAGTTGACACAACACTATGACACATCAAAGCCTCCTAGAAAGGATGTTAATATTTGGTCAGGTGCATATTGGGCTCCTCTGTACTCAGAGCCTGCAAGCATAGCTAGCTAGCAAAGAGGAGAGTCTAAAGGAAACAGCTTTGTGAGAATAAGGAATAGCTTGAATGCTTTCTCATCCCTTTAGTTGTCATCCTTTTCAAAAGATGGAAACCTAAAATCAGTTAGAAGTCGTTTTATAACATGGGATATTTTAGAAAAGGTTAAATAGTGTCATGTTCATCTTTAAAGATTAATGCGGATGGAGTAGTCTTGTTCTAAGATGAAAGCTTCTGTGTGAGAGATATAGGGCACTGTTATAAAATTTCTGTAAACTGAATGTTTATCTTAAGCATTAAGTTTAAATTAAAATAATATCTCAAAATGTGCCACAACTCACATATATTCAATTTTTTCCCAAAAATCAGTCTGTACAGCAATGTAGATATAACTATATCTACTGTTTCAGGCAGTTGTTTCTCGTAATACCTACGAAGAATTGTAGTTGATGAAGTAAATGAAAGTGTAATGAAGCTCACCAATAATTTAAGTATTTCTTAAATTTCCTAAAAACTTTGGGTGATTTTTAGTATTAGGCAGTATATAAATACAAAAAGAGTATTAATATGTATATTATGAATATATTATGTATTTTATGAATATCAATATGAAAATCACTATTTGGAATAGTAGCGCTATGAAACTTCCAAACTCTTCTAAGGTATTAGCTTACCTTTTCTGTGTTGGGCAGGCCCAATGTCGCATTTACAAGTTTAAAAGCAAGGAGAAGTATCCCCCAAACCTGAAACTCCCCTTCAATCTTTCTGAAAGATTTAAAATTAACAATGTAAGTAACATTAGTCAGTTGTGATGACCGTGAAAGGAAAAAGGGTATTGTTCTGGTTTCATGGAATTTTCTTAATCTCGTGGTTTGAGTAGAGAGAAAGTACAGTTAAGTTTCATTATTCTGTCATAGCTGCCGTTTTCTTTTTATGGCTTTCCTCCCCGAGTAGTGCTTTTCTACAGAGTCCAGAGTCGTTCAGTGAAGATGAGGGATAACGTGAGCAAAAGCAGTGCAAAAGGAAGAAAGTCGGGTTCCATGTCAGTCTGCAGGAAAAGCCAGTTATGATGATTCATCTCTCAGAGTTGAAGTGATAGCTAACTTTATGAACTGTCATATCTATTTTGATAAACAGAGTACGAAGATAAAATCCAACTAAAATAAAAATATTGTAATGTAAATTAAGATGTGAAATGTTAGAAGAATAGGTTAGAAATTTCATAGATAGAGAAAGCTTCAATTTACATCTCTTAGATAAAGATAATATTATATAAAACTTAAAGTAGAATCATAAATAATACCCAAATCATTAATTCTTACTCTGCATCTTTTAATAAAGCTGAACAGAGGAAATTCTTAACTGCAATTTTGTAGATGTTTATGGATTTTCTGATAAATGCAATGAAGAATATGATAGAACACAGAATGGAAGCTTGAAAGGGTCGTCAGGAATCTTAAATCTTCATATTATTTGGAGGAATATCATTATGCCTGAAAGAGAGGACCAGAACTAAAATTTAGGCTCTTGGTTCTGTCTGTGAGTTGCACAGAAGATTCTTGGTAAGATTGTTCAGAATGTTTTTAAAGTAAGGTATACATCCTGAGTTACCTGCATTTGAAAGCCTGGGTTTCAAGTATGTCTCAGCAAAGAAACTATTTATAGTTATTTATAACTTGTAGATTTCCTTCACTCTTTTAGTAGACTTTTCCCCTTCTCTGAAATCCCTTGAGATAAACTGAATATTTGCCAGTTGGATCATCTTTCAAAACTTTTGCTTGTCTAAATGCTTGCTGTTATCAGTCAAGAAATGTTGAGGGCTTCCGAAGGTCGTTCTTCAGATCCCCTTCATTTGTATAACGTTTTCCTCTGACTTCTCCCTTTTTTTTCTGTTGTAGTAAGAATGTCGTGTTAAACTGGAACTTCTACCGCTCAGGATCCTATGCTACTACCTGCCTTTATCTGCTTGCTACTATCTACTCTTAGCTGTGAAAATATTATATTTCACCATTTAGTCCTGTGAGAGCCAAGTACTTCTTGAAGGCAGCTCCTTTGGCAGATACCGGTCTATATTGTTTTATGCACTAGTTACGATTTCTTTTTTCAGTGGTTTGTTAAAGTATTTTGAATTTTCACTACAGATTTTGGATAGAAAGAATAATGAAATAGAGGTATTGAAGACCCTCTACAAAACGAAGCAAAATGAAGCTGAGGAATCTATTAGAAAACTGGAGAAAAAAGGTGATTTTATTTTCATGGATGTACTTTCTGCATGGTGATACTGTACTGCGTCATGCTTGTGACTGTGAGCCATGCTTTTCTTCTAGGTGCACACGTACTATTTCTTGTGTTTTCAAGTTGTGTGTAATGTCTTGCCCTAGTTTCTCCTTTCAGATTTTTTTGAGGCTTGTCTGGTTGTCTTTGCTCTCCAATGTCTAAACCAAATTTTCCAAGAGACTGTGCAATCTTACAAAGTTGAATACTAACAGGTTTTATGAGCCACAAAAAATTGTTATTATGAAAGTGTTTTAACTACTTATTTCTTTTTGGACTCTCTTGTTTGGGGTTAGTTTATTTATACCTTCAGTACATTTAATCAAATCGTAATGTATTATTTATTTAGGATTATTGGGGCAAGAGATTTCAAACGTGAGTAGTAGTCTTGAGTTCATCGTAAGTACAAAACTTGGCACGTCTGGGTGTGGCTTGTCAGTTCTTTTTGAATATTGGCTTCTTCTAGAATTTCTTGGAGTGTATTTATTCCACAGACTAAACCACAGTGTCAGATAGATACACAAGCTTGGTAACCTGGGTACTGAAAAGGAGTGAGCTCTATGTAAGTTAATGTTTCCATCTCCTTAGCAAAGTAAATTATCCTGTAAGGACTGCTGTGCCTCTGTTGGTAGGCTGGTGGTTGTGCTCACCTGTAGCAGGTAGTCTTGTATTCTGGTCACCTTCATGGCTGTCAGATACTGGAAATGGTCAGTCACTTTTGAAAAGTGAATTATGTTCCTGCTTTCTTTTCTACAGAATTTGTCAGTCTCAATTCTTGACGCTTTCAGTTGCAATTCCGATCGGGGCACTTGTATTTGGGGGTTTTCGACCTTAATGAGAACTTTCCGTGATGCACGCAAAATCGTATTAAAAATGCCTGTTTTCTTTAGGCTCTGCATAATTCTGTAGATGTGTGTGTACTGTGAAAATAGAACAACTGTGAGATATTCTAGAAATTAGAACACCTTGCACTAGTTCAGTGGCAGAGAGTTTAAGTGCTAATTTTTAAAGTGTTTACATTAAGTATCTTTAAGAAAAGAAAAACATCACAAAGCAAGGTCACTTGGAAAACTGATGTAAACAGTTTGCATCTGTTGCCAACGGAATAAACCCCAATAGTACCTCTTGAATGGTTATTTATTTCCCCATGTTTTTTTGGCAGTTCAGACCCTCGTTCGCGAGTCACAAGTTGTCAGAGAAGCAAAGGAAAAGCAGATTGTGGAGTTAAAGAAGATGTGTGAGCAAAGCGCTGATTCTTTGAACAACGAGTGGGAGAAAAGGGTAATGAATAATACTTGCTTTGTTTGAAAGGCTCCTACAGTGTTTATCTAGGATAATGAATTTTGTCATTTAAAAAAAAAATAAAAGGAATGTTACTTCTAGTACTATTTTCCGGCATTGATTTTATTTATTTCTAGAGTAATTTTGTCCGGTTCTTTTTGCTGACTCTTTTGCATATGCACACCCCACTCTTCACTCAGGAAGCTATTCCTAGGGTTCATCTGGTCCTCTTGACAAGTCCCTTCGTTTATTAGGGCAGTGTTTATTTTTGGTTGACCTGACATGGAATTTTAATTAAAGTAAACCTGCTGCTACCTGCTGCCACACTGATTTCTTTGAACTATTATTTTTGGATTGGGTCATGAATTCTTCAGTGTATTTTTATTTTCTGTTAGACTCAAGGCAGCAACAAAGCAGAGTGAAGCATGTTTCTTGCAATACAGCTTCAGTTTTGCCCAGAGTATTGTCTGTATTTGCCTCCTTTACCCCCCTTAGGAGAGGGAGGGTCACAAAAAGGGCAAAACACCTCTTGTGGATGAAGTATGCTGTTTAGCTGAATCTTTTTTGCAGTCCTGTATCTAGAAGTGATGCTACTTTTCGCCCTCGTCCTGTGAGAGGGAAATCATAAATCTTGTTCTTTATACAGAAGACCCTGAGGCTTCTGGGTTAGCTTTTTGATTTTAGAAAAGCGTTATTTTCAGCCTGAGGTCATTCCACTTGTTCTTTGTAGTTACCTAGCACGTGCTGTTCCTACAGCTGTCATTGTCGTTGGTGATGCCAGTGTGCAAACGAGAAGCCAAAGAAAGATGCTAATATAAATTTAAATTTAGTGAAGTTATAGAAGCAAAATTGGAACACGTATCTTGTATTTCCTTTTTACTTCTGACTATCCATCTTTTTGCCATAAGTTGACAGTGAAATATTTTCATAATTTTATATATCACTTTTTTGAGTGTTTTGCCTTTAAATAGATGTTGTCTATTTCAAAAGATATTGCTAATTGTCATGCTAATATTATAGTCTGTGCAGAAGGTGGAGACATTCACAGAATTTCTGGTTTATTTTGATGTGGGATGCAAGATACTGTCACCTGAATGGTCTGAATCCAAACAGTTGTGGAGGCTGCAATGAGATTTTAAAATACGAAGCAGTTAGGTTTTCTTTTCTTACTTTTTTACCCTCTATGCAGGGTAGAAATAGCCTTGTTTTTCTTTTTTCCATTTTTATTCGAGAAAGCGTCCAGATTGCTATGTAGCAACTCTCTAATTTACCTCTAATAATGAAACCTGAGCCAGTAATAATATATTAGCAACTTTCAGCACTTTGGCGTTCCATGCATTGTTCACTTATTAGTTTTTTTGATAAGTGCTACAGAGACCATTGTATAATTGCTATCCATCGATTTTATGCAGATTTAAAAATAATCTGGATTTTTTTTTTTAAAGCACCTCAAATTCAGTAAAGCTTCTGATCGCAAAAATGGATGCACAATACTTAAATTTTGTTTCCATTCTTATGGTTCTAATGAAAATTTGTATGTTAAGTTGCTATGTGCTGTTAAAATCCATGAAATAATGGTCTAGATTCACAGAGCTCCATAAATGTGCATGATGGAAAATATTTGGTAAGGCAGTAGGCAGAGTGACTAATAACTTTCCCCTAATCTGTAGGGTGGAGAGAGAATCAATATTTGCATAAATTAGCCTATTTTAACAGTATGCTTGGAATGACTCTTTCAATTTGTCCGTTATAGCTTTCTCCTTCAGCCTTTACTCTTAACTGAAATGCGTTTGTTTGAAACTTGAGCAATATGAAATAGCTGTTTTACAGTCAGCATGCCATACAAGTTTAGTATGCCAGATTAACATGACACTAGTATTTATTGTGTGTATGTAAAATTTAGATTTGTGGCTGCTTACCAGTGGTATCACTTCCTAGTTATTTAGAATTGAAATCAAGGGCTAGTAACGATGCAAATAATCTTCTAATTAGGTAAATAGATAGTCGAGGTTCTCCAGCTTCTTGGAAATTGAGATGCCAGTAAACTGGTGTAACGCAGGCATCTGGAGAGAGTATTAGTATTTCCATAATATAAAGTCATTAATTTTGTATGACAGTCATTGCTCAGTTTAAATATGTAAACAATATCAGAGAATGGCAAAAATAAATAGGCTTTATTAGCATTCTGTAAGACAGGAGGATAAGTTATGCCCTCTAATGTTTTTGAAATTACCGCTTTTTAGAGTCAGAACAGACTTCCTAAATGAGAAAATGATGTGATTTTGTTCTAGAGCACAGAATGTGGCCTATATTTGCCAGTTATTCTCTTAGTGTATCTAGTACTTATAAACACTAGTTTTATGCTATTTGGTATTTTTGTAATATTTTTCTGATGCAGCTTCACAATGCTGTGGCTGAAATGGAAAAGGAAAAGTTCAATATTCAGAAGCAGCACACAGAAAATATTCAAGAACTCCTTGAGGACACCAACGTTCGTCTTGGCAAAATGGAGAAAGAATATTTGGAACAAATAAAGTCAACTGTATGTATGATTGTGTTTTTTCCATGAATGTTTAATTCCCTTTATCTCTGAGATGCCCTTTCTAGGGTTTCTGTATGTTGGATGTCAGCTCTAAGTTGTGCCTACCTAAAGTCCTATTATTATTATTATTATTATTTTTTATTCCCACTCTTTCTGCCCTGTATCTGAGTGATGGTCTCATAGGCAGAAACTCACTTGTGGCAGCTGCTAATTTGATAAGTAGAAGCAAATTCTTCCCTGATCACAGAATTACACAGAAAACCTCACATCAAGTTTCCACTTGATGGAAACTTGAAGCAAAAAGGCAAATAAGCAAAATGCCTTGAAGCAAAAAGGCAAATAAGTATTAGTAAAAATGAAAAAGTCTCCTCAATAAAACATCTTATTCATTTTTTCAGTATGAGACACAAAGAAAACTGAGAGGACAATGTCAAACAAACTTTATCATCTTATTAACGAATATTGAATTTAAAAATTAGCATTCAGATCGTGTCATAGGTACCAGTAAATACAGAGGAAAACGGACACAGTCTGTCAGCAAGATTGAATTTAAGAACCATCAAAAATAGACAGATCTTGCTGAGCAGCTTCTGATTTAATAATTAAGCAAGGTAGAGTTCAAGGCAGGGCTTAAGATGAAAGCCTAGACTGTCACTGAAAATGAGTTTTTTTCCTTCTCTTTCTTTCTCTCACTCTGTTGTTGTTTTTTGGTATTTCAGAGTTCTTTCCTTGTTCAGAGTTTTGCAATGTCAAGAATGCCATTACTGTTAGCAAATAAAATTCTCTGAACAATTGAACTAGTATTGTAGAACTATTAAGTAGGGTTTTTTGTCCGTTGAACAAGTATTAATTTCCTGGGAGGAGAAAATAAGGATATGTAGTGATAGTTACGAAGCCTGTGTGGTTATTACAAAATGTGAAAGGAGCAGCAGATTACTAAATTCAAAAACATGCTATAATATATTAAAACGTCATGGGATCTTAATAGTAGCATTAGAAGCATAGTAAATCAGTCCTCTCCCATTTTCAGCCACCTCTGATCCCTATCCCTAGCAGTAGTGTTACAGGGTAAAGGTAGGAGGGGATGTGGACCCTCTGTCCTAATAATTGCTTGGATTTGGACCATTAACTCGTACTTTGGTTAGACAAATTATTCTAAACTTAAATGAGATCTACTAAGAGCAGTGAACTGTGTGTACAGTAGGTAGTATGAAATACTGTAGAATTACCCTAAAATCCTACAAAGTGACCCACAAGCTGACTTTTTTTAATGAAACTCCTCATCTGAAAGAGTTAAGACTGCACTTACTGCTTCTTACCCAATTCCCTTGTAGAATGTTCCTGTTGTATATTTTGCAAGACTGACTGAGCATACGAAAACATGTTTTCATAAATAATGATGTTACAAAGTAAGGAATGTGTTGTACATCTAGATGGCATTGTCATTTTCTAATGTTTTAATTTGTATTTTGATACTGATGCTTAATATCTATCTTTCCTGCTTAAAAGATTTATGCTTTTAAGATTTAATACTTTTATAGAAATGAGTTGCAAATATTGTTTCATTTGGGGAGAAGACATGCTACTTTTGGGGGGGTGGTTAGGCATGCATATTTTGAAGGTGGTGGTGGTATTGGTTGTTGGTGTGGTGATGTTGTGTGTGCATGTGGGATTTTTTTTTTTTTTAATTTAAATACAACGTAGAATTTACTGTCACGACTGATCACAGCTTTGCTGTTGTAACTCTTGTGTTTCCGGACCACCAAAGAACCTTGTTGCTCTGGGCTACTGAATAACTACAGGGGTATACACTAATTTATTCTGGTGGTTTCTTAACAATGACCTATTCTTTTAGAACCAGATGGTCAAAGAACTGGAGGCTCGCGTCCAGCAGTTGACGGTTGAGGCTGAAAATAGTAATTTACAGCGTCAAAAATTATCTCAAGAAAAGACTGATGCAGAACAATGTTATCAGGCAGTATGCTCTGAGCTTCAGGAAGTGAAAGCAAGGTAATTAAATAGTGGTTGCTGCTTTTAACTTTGAAGAATATGGGATTTCCAAAACCAAACACTACTCATTTTGTTTCAAGAACCCAGTGAATGGTAATAGGCATTACAAAATTGTCATGAAAATGTGTTAATGCAAAAAGTGGTTTTGGAGCTGACCAATGTCATAAGTATGTTATCTTTCCATTGTTTAAATACATTTCATTTCATTACTATGAGCACATGGAACAGTCAGACTTGCATACTCTGTAGAATTGATACAAAACAGGTGAAATACCAAAATATGAAAGCAAATTTCCATATTCTATTTGCTTACTATTTGTAGGCACAGCTCACTTCAGAAAGACAGGGACCGTATTGCACAAGAATATGAGGAGAACATTCAGCAACTACAAAGTAAATATGATGCTGATATAAATTTTATAAAACAGGAACATGCTCTGTCTGCAGCTAAGGTATGTTTCCATTTAGAATACACATAAAAATACTTGCTTACTGGTTGTTTATTTTCAAACTGGTCTCTTCAATTTTATAAATTGTGATTTAAGTTTTCATTTCCAAATTTGACTAAAAAATTGATTGAAGTTGACTGAGAATGTGTGTGGGAGATGTTGTGTACATGCATACATATAGGTAGCATTTTCATGGTTGGTTCAGCTAAGGCTCAATTGATATGTTCGTTGTATTTGTGTTGCTGTAAAAATTCTGGGTGCCAAAGAACCTCAGCACGCTTAAAGACTTAATGTTTTCATAAGGCATCTTCAACAGATTATTTCTGGAAAAAATATCTTCCTTAATTATGCATTTGAAGACAAATTTTTATGTCTGTCTTTTCTATGGAACAGTGTATTTATGTGTATTAAAATATTTATGTGTATTAAAGTTATTTTAAATTCCATAAATATACATTTCCCTAAAATGCAATAAGTCAATTTTTCTGTACAAATATCTACAAATATCTATCAAGTTAATATGTTGTGCATGCACTGGCGAATATATATATATCACATATCATTTTCAAGTTAACTAACTATAGAAAAGGTTCATACTTTAAATTCTCTCTGCTAATCCTTAGAGCATTGGATAAATTGAATCTTTTCGATTTGTTTACTGAAATTCTGAGAGCTTTGATACTTTACTTTGTTACTTTACTTTACCCGATACCTTTACAAGGTATTTTTTTCTTTCAACCGTTAGTGCCAAGGTGATGTGAAGTTTTGGGGTTGTTTTTAATTAGTTATTTTAGTGTGATTTTGTTTACGTTTTTAAGTTGAACAGAGTAACAGCAGTGAAGTATCTGGAGCTGGGAACTGATCAATTTTCTTTCCCAAGCTGATTATTTTTTCCAATTTCCAGTCAACTTGGGAAGGTAAACTTAAAAAGGTAAAAGTTGTATCGGTAGAGCTAGCAGAATGCAAGACAAAAATTCTTTCTGCTGTTAAATCTCTACAGGCATCTAATGTGATTGAAGAATTGGAACATAATGTGTCTCTACTAAAACAACAGTTACAAGAATCAGAACATCAAAGGCAGCAACAGCGAGGGTAAGCCCTGATTTTTTTTTTTTTCCTTAATTATTTTTTTAAAACTTTTTCCTATGTTTAGATAGCCAAACTGAAATACACTTAGATACATATTATATCGAAGGTTGAATAAAAAGTATGATTCAAAGAGATCACTTTATAGGTAAGGACAGAATTTTTACAGGGGACCTCTTGACTATTTGTCTTAAATGATATGTCAAACTAGGTGAAACATGTATCAATGGGTTATAGAGAACCACACTGAAGAACTGAAAAGGCCTTTTTGCTTTCTTAAACAGCCTACGTCTTAAAGTAAGCTTCAAAATTGTATTCATTTCTGTTGCTTTTTAACAATTCACTATTCCGTTTCCTCATAGACATATAAATTAATCTTTCTTAGGATAATGACTTTCATTTCTACATGTATCAATCCTGTTTTGAGTTTTGGCATCTGCTTGTCCTCCTTTCTCTTTCAATTAACAGTTTACATAGCGTAGAATAGCATCTTAATAGCTCAGGAGAGCTAGTTGCTCTAGTTGGTTTTGTTCTTTAGAGGTGTTAAACTAGCCCAGATGGCATGGTTCTTGTTATGCGTGGATATTTTTGCTGTTGGTTGAATTTTTTTTTAAGTCAAGGAGGGACTTTCTCTTCTGCATGACCTAAAGTCTAATAGTATTCCTCGCATCTTGGACTTCTGAGCAAGGAACTAAAATCTGTGTTTGACCCTATGATTTCTTACATCTATTTAGAAGCCATTTTGTGCTAATGAAATAGTAAAGATAAAGTGGCATCTTTTCTGTAATTAAAATAATAGTTAAATGTTGATAAAAGAATTGTTTAATGATACCACAAAGTAGATTTTTAAATTTTATGGTCTGTGCTATATTATAGCAAAATAAGTGGATACATATGATGAATACTGTGAAATGAAAGGAAAATGTGATTTGTCTATTCAAAATGCACATCTCTCTTTGCAGGATCAAGACTACAAATTTCAACAGGATAAACTTCACTTGGAGCGTGTATATGAGAAACAGGTATTGTTTTAACGTAAATGCAGCTGGTATGTTGTTTAAATTCTGAAATCCCCCCCAAATAAATTTTGGGTATACTAAAGATATGCAAATAATGAAACCTAAAACCCAGTGTGAAAATAATGAGCTTTTAAACAAGTGTAAAGATGTTACAATCTTTAGCAAACGTATCAGTGGTTTGAAACATGGTAATGTATGCTCTTTAACTCACTTTGAGTGGAATTCATTCCAGCTAAGGAGATGCAGTACTTCCAATGCTCTTATTGTATTTTTTTCATTATTTTGACTCTTTCTTAGGCAGCTATTGAAGTCTTTTTTAAAAAAAAAAAAAAAAAGAGAGAAACAAAAAAAGGCAGTGACAGAGGCTGTATATGGAACAACTGTTCATTGTCTCTCAATGCGAGAAGTGGGAGGCCTTAAGTGAAACTAGCAGGTGGCAGTTTCAAAACAAGCTTTTTCGCACTATGTAGAGTGAGTCTGTGGAGATCTGCCATAGGATAATGTGAAATCTAAACATTTCACATGGGTTGGAAAAATAATTGGACAATTCAAGGAAGATTGGCCTAGGCTATTTAAGTGCAGAGAGATCACCTCTGATTCTAGATAACAATAGTGCCCAATTGTGGTCACTGGGAGAGCATACCAGCAAAGCATCACTGTGTGGTTGTCCTCTTATACACTTCCTTTGCTGGCATCTGATGTTAATTGCTACTAGAGAAAAGATACTGAACTAAATTGAACTTAGCCTGACCTGTGGTCAGTGTTCATATGTTCTTCCATACTTCTTTCTCCCAGTATATCTTTATTCTGTGCTTTCCTACGACTTGAATGTGTGTTCTCCATATATTGTTGACATGCATTGTTTTCACATTGGAAACTTAAATTAAAAAATGTAGTACTTAGCAAAAGCAGTTTGTTGTAAAGCACTTTGCAAATACTGTTCCTGTAAACATCAATACATTTCAAATTAATTTTTAGTGGCGTATGTTCAGCTCATGCAGTGTTATTTAATAAGACTATGTTAGATGCTTTCTTAATGGAAAAAATGTGTTATTCAAATGTCATTTTCAAATGCAGCAACTTTATAACATAAAATGATGAATTGTGATCATAGCTACTAGTCATTTACTAACAGCAATTGAAACACGAGTGTTAGTGGGTTTTTGGTTAGAGTTGATTCCTTCTTTGAGGTTGAATACTTTTTCATATCTTGTAAGGTTTAGACCAAAACCTTGACTTCATTTGTCTTTTTACCAGACTGAGTTACGTTTTTATTTTTGAATGTTGTCCTCAACCAAGGCCTAGGATTGCAATAGTACTGCAGGTCAGAATAGAAACATATTAGCAAAATTTGGGTATCTTCTGGCAACTGACATACAGTGGATGTTGGTTTATTGGAGCAAATCAGTTCCTCTAACATGCACAGAATATGCTCTGATATGCACAGATTAAATGTGGCTAGTAATGCTCCCAGGCACTATTTCCAAGTGGTGTAGAACGGCCCACATCTACGCTATTAAAATTTCTTATTCTGCACAGCAAGGTGGTTGCGTTCATGTTACTTTTTTGAAGGGCTGCCTGTCCTGTGCTAATCCTGAACAAGTTTTGAGGAATGCTACTTAGCATTGGCTACAGATATGTCAGCAACCATTCTAGTTAGTAAGCATATTCATTTGAGTTCCAGTGCTAGTATGAATATAGTCTGAAAGTCGTGACTGTGGCTATCTCTCTGTTATCATTCTTATAAGTCTTATATGTCCAAATGTATTACCTTTCCATAAGTAGCTCAAGTTGAGTAATTATTATCAGTGTAAGGTTTGGGTAGACTGCAGAACTGACCTAAAAAGCCAAACGGCTTGCAAAACCTTAGAATATCTTGAGAGATCAGCTGTTGAGTACCTTTCTGATCTTCTCTGCGAAGTTCTGTTACTCTGCTGTCTGGATGTCATGACTAAGAGCTTAGAAAGATGGTATATTGCATATTGTATAGTGAAAATAACTGATTGTTTCAAATGAGAGGGGACTCGGGAGAGCTGCGAGTTCTCTGGCCAAGGGAGATGCAAGGTCTGTAATGCAGGATTGTTTGCAGATTAGGGAGAAGTTCTGCTGTGTACGGAACTGTTTTCTCCAAGTAAAACTTTATTGCATAAATATTTTGTTCTACACAATGTTGGTCAACAATTTTGGAAGTTATTTGTGACCTCTGTCTGGTTGTTGATAATGCCTAACAATAGTTTAATTCCAAAGAGTGTTTTTCTGATGTCTGAGTTGTCTGTGGTTTTAGTTTAAAGGTTTTTGATAAAGGAAAGGGTTTTGCATACTCAGTAAATTCTGCATGGATTTTTGGGCTGCATCGTGTCCCTTCTTTTTACAAGGGGTTAAATCTTCCCTTCCCCCTCCCCCCCCCCATAACAATATAATTCAGGTTTTAACTGGTATATAAGAAGGACAATATATGTGTTCAAGTTCCTTACTATAATAATTCGGTATTAACAGCACATCTATTTGGAATTGCTATTTGTTATGCTGTTCAACTTTCTAAGTCTCTCTCATTTCTCTGTTATTTCAAGATTTGCCCTTACAACCCAAAGTTAAAAAGAGGGGTTGCCATTGTTGAGAGAATGTCATTTGACTCCTGTAGTAATGAAGCTTATTTGAGGAGGCATGTAACTATGTATCAGTAAAAAAGAAAGAAAAACCTTTGGTTTGGTAGATAGCTATAGCAGTTTGCATATTCAGAACTTTTGATTTACGTGTGTGCTTTGAGAATAAAATCTCTGAGAGCAGAGGAGTAAATACATTTGGGTGATCTATTGTTATAAATCCATAAAAGAGTATGGATTGGCCCATAAAATACTAGCTTGCCTTCAAGTGAGGGAATAATGAATTCTCTGGTGCAGTCTGTTCACTTAAGTACCTTCCTGTTATCTAATCATCTTTATTGGTCTACAGTGGCTATTCCCTACTAGGATATTTAAACATCAAACAAAGAATAGGTAGTAACCCTGAATGTCACTTTGATAAAATGTGCTTATCTGCTGAATCAGGAACCAGTTAGGCTAAATGGTTTTACAAGCAAAGGAAACACCTGCTTTTTGCAAATCTACTGCTTGTTTTCCAAACATTCAGCTAAGCCTAAGAACAGTGGCAGATTATTACTGAGAGCCGTTTCTGAGCCAGTTGCTAAATATATTTAATTTTATCAGTATTGGTAGGTAATACTAACTTTACATGCTGATGAACAGCCCGTCAGTTTTGAGGCTGTTTCAAACCAACTAATTATTCGTGCTTCTGTATAGTTAACAGCTGTGTGGACCCATTTACGCATGAGAATGTCTAAACTGTTTTTTCATTGGAGATATAAATATGCTGTGCTGTATTTGGTTAGTTATAAAATTAAAATAGCTAAGATACTATTTTCTTTTAGAGTTGTAAGTGTTCTTTTTCTGGGTGTAAGTTAGTTGTACCCTTCACTTGTACAAGAGTATCATACCCCAGCATTTCCAAACACTGTTTAACGTCTGGATACAAAATGGAAACATGAAAAGCTTTTATGTAATGATTCATCTACTGTATTTTTATCTCACTGGGTAGGAGGCTCTTCAATTGTAATTCACTTTTTGTCAGAAGTTTTAATTTTTCTTTTCCACCTTCCATTGGTTAATGTTTGAGTATGTATTATTCTCAAGTAATCTTATTCAGTATCATTTTTATATATATAGATTTTTTTTTGTTAAAAGAAATTATAAAAGGCAGTTAGCTATGAATTTGTATTCACTAATCGGTAAGTAGGAATTCTGCATCATAAAGCAATACGTGTTATTATTTTAGGCATGTTTCTAAATCTTTTTGTCTTCATCCTAAAGAAAAATATAGTTCTTTTTAATGCCATTACTGATGTTTCTTTATTGTAGAGGGTAATATTCATTTTGAGAAGAAGCAAAATAGCTCTATTGACCATATTCTCATACTTCATCTCTCCATTTATTTTTGTTCTTTCATTTTATATTATTTTAGAAACATCATACACATCATTGTCTATCCTAATGCATAATGAATTTATAAAGAGTCTTTATAATTTAAAATAACAGTAATTTGTTCCATCAGACTTTGTTTTAGCTAAAATGTAGTATTTTTTCCTTCAAATGGTAGATTCATGGCATCCGGAATGATCTTGATAAAGAAAGAGGGGATGCTCAAAAGAAAATTCGCAAACTGGAAGAAACTTTGAAGTAAGTGGCAAATGCAGTAATTGTTGAGGCATCGCCAAGTTTATAGCCGAACTTATTAAACAGACATATGCTTTGTGTTGTCTAACAGCCCTCCTATAGATTGTCTGGGTACCCTTTCAATTATAATAAAGACACATTTTCAGGGTTTTATTCAGTCATAAAAATTAAAGCAAAGCAAAAGTGAAGCCACCAAAGTTGGTCAGCTTTCAAGTGACAGGAATGTAACAGAACATTTTCAAGTGGTTTTTTTTCCCCCCCCGATAAGTAAACTAAACCAGCTTCAATTTAGATTAGATATGTAGTACACGAATCAAGGCTAGTTGCTTTCAGTTTTATCCATTCCTCTGAAATATTCCAAAGATCTGCATATTATATTAGGATCTAATACACTGGTATGCTGTGCTACATACTGTGCAAACTCCTGTTCAGTGCTTAAAATAATCATTTATGATTCAGGAGAAGCCAGGAGAGGGGCAAGTCTGTCAAGACAAAAATGGAATATGTATCACTTACACTTCGAGCTTGATTTCAATCTCAGAAATTATATTTGAATTGATTTAGTATATCATATGATAATTGTGAATTTTTAAAATCTCTACCTATAAATTAATGTGGATTTTTCCTCTTCTTTGTTACCGTACTTTCTTGTATGCGTAGCTTTTTGTAGTGTAAATAGCTAAAACGGTGTAAGCTTTTGCAGCATCTGAATGAAAGCAAAGAGGGCAAAGCGTATGGGTGTGCAATGAAAATTCAATATCATGCAAATATTTTGTTACATTTTGGGGGGTATGTGATGATATTATGCTCTTGGGATAGAAATTGTAGAATTTTTCAGAACTGACTCCCATTAAGAACTCACTAACTGGACTCTAGCATCAATGTTTAAAGAACATAAATTGTGTTTTATTTTGACAATAAAGCTAAAAGTGAATGTGTAGATATAGTACACTTGAAGGAAATTTAAAAAAAAAAGAAATGCTGGGAGGGTACTTCTCTCCCCATAACTGATGCTTATGCAGTTCTGTTCAGGAACTGAAAGGGAGTCATGTAGGACTTCAATGAGTCTTGATGAGCAGCATCTGTTTACTTGAGAGTACTGCTGCTGATTTAGCGTGCTTTCTTTTCTTAGAATTCTGCTTTCCAGAAGACTCTGGGATTTAAACGGAAGAAATGGACAATAGGGAATGATAAATTCCACGAGAATCTCATCTACAAACACTTGGCTCTGCAAAGTAGTGCTTTTATAAGTTTCAGCAGTGGGACTGCTTTGTTAGACCACGCCAGTGGCAGATACTTAACAATACAGAGTACGTTTATCTAATACAAAGCGTGCAGAGACTGGTTAATTTTATGACATACTATGAGCCATAATTAAAGCATCTTAAACTGTTTCCTGTTTGATTAACCTTATTTATAGCTGTCTTAGTGGCATAAGCAGGAGACGGATTAATCTGACTTCTTATTAAATTGGATGTCCAAAACTCTTTAGTTTTCTTAAAAATACAATTTTTCAAATATAGCTGGTGTGCTGCAAACTGAAGACACTTGTCATTAACTTGAAACAACTTTTTTTTGCTGAACTTGTAAAACTAATCAAGATGCATCAAGTTTGATGCTTTCTGAGCAGAGGAGTGGCTTACATAGCAGATGCGTGTATGGCAAGATCAACTCTCTTGTTTTCCTTCTTCCATTTTTGATTGTGTCGAAATTATTTCCATAACTTTGATTTTAAACTGGGTAAACGTATGGAAATAACATTTTAAGAAAAACAGATTATTCTGGAACAAACCAGAAGTTATTTGCTAAAAAGACTCAGTTAAATGTTAAAATATAAATTATCTAAACTGATAGAGGCATTGTGAAGACACGTAGTCAATAAAAATCACAAGACTGAAGTCTATATTCTTATGTTTCTAAAATCTCCGAGGTATTTGGTATCAACAGAAACTCTTATCTCACTACAGATATTTAATACTCAATAGCTTTTGTCTTTAGGTTTTTTTATGCTATATATCTTTTTGTAGTTTTAGAGAGATTGCATTCTCTATTATCAACTAAACTTAATCTTTTAGTATTTTAACACCTGATTCATTGATAGCATAGTTCCTTTATCTTCCATGACTTTCAAATAAGGTGTCAGTTTGAGGTTATTTTATGTTAAGGATGCTTAATAATTAAATCTAAATTTACAGTCCACTGGTTGCTCAGAACTTATTCCCCATGTGAGTGCTCTTACTGCAGGGTAAACATGGTAGTGTTCCAATTCCGTCAAGTATTTGTAAAGCAGGTCAGTGTGCTGTAGATTTTGAACTTTGTAGTTAACAGCACTGTACTAAGAAGCTCTGTAGATAGCTTTGGAGGTCCTAATTTATTTCAGGTATTCCCTGGCTGTAATTAAACATAGGTTTAATGTTAGGGTTAGAGTAAGAGTTTGAAAGATGAGTTTCAAGAGCCCGCTTTAACGCTGGGTGCTTCAGGGCCCACAAAGCTAAGACAGTGTTGACAGAGGCCAATCCCAACCTTATATTTTAGATAAATGGATCCTTTGGCTAAAACTGAACATGAGTCAGCCCCTGGGATAGAGGAGCCCTGTAGATTATTTATTACTGGCTCCACAAGCTTAGCCTTTACCAATAAGTCCTTAACAGTAGCGGATGATTTTAGTATAAGAACAGGTCCCTGGCTATAGTCACGTTAGAGTTGATGTTTGAGAGTCTAAGGATTTGGGAATCTAAAGTTTGAGCCCTCTATTGTTTGCTGGATGCTGCAGGTTTAGGAAACGGCTAGCACTGACGAAGGCAAGCGCTGGCTTCATCTCATACTGTAGGGATTGCACAGATGGTTGTAATTAGGGTTGGGGTTGGGGTTAGTGCATGAAAGTTTAAAGGTATATCTAGACTATTGTCTCTACAGCAAGTTATTTATACCTATTCCAGGTTTTGCAAAGTGTTTTAGATTGGGGCTTGTCTTCTAATGCAAGCTGTTCGTGTTCATACTTTTCCCAGGTCTCCTTTGTGTGTGTCCTATGTCGCACGGTTTCTGACTGTCTATGCAATTTTTTGTGGGGTTGTGGGTTTTATTTTTTTATTCATTTTACTCAGGCTATCTGAAATAACATGAGGACTGTCTCAAAGACCTCCAGAATGAGACATTATAACATAGTAAGGATATGTGGCGCATGTTCTTGACTGCGGCATGAGGATATTTGGGAGGCCTACTGGACCAGTGTTGAAGGATTGCATAGGATGGAGGAAGCCACCTTTTCTTACTATTTTGGTCATACTACCTCTGTGGTAATGCTCTGGGGTACCCTGCTCCCATAACTGCACCCAGTTTTTTGTCAGGCAGAGCTAGTTGGTTAACAGAAGGAAATATGGGAGCCAGTGGGTTTTCCTGTAATATTGAATTGGTCCTTGCAATGAAGTTACGCAGTATAGATTCATCTTTACTGTTGAATCAATGTAAAGTGGGTCACTTAATTCTATGTTGATATAGAGTAGTTAGCATGTGTTAAAGGCTCAGTTAACTTTGAAATTAATGTCTTTTGAGAAGCTGTATTGGTAAATGAAAACTTTTTCATAGCTATTTATAATATAACTCATGCACTCTGCTACAGGTAATGGCATGTCACACTCCTAATTTAAGATGCAAAATATATTTTAATGTTTGAAATTGCTTACTGTTTAATAATGATATATTAAAATATTTTCGGTTGTTTAACTGTGATTTGGGGCTAATTTTAGGATGTACAGTAATTCTTTTGTCGTTGAATAGAAACTAGCTTTCATTCTTTTTGTCTGGATGGAGACAGAAATGCTCCCAAAGGTTCAAAAGTATTTTACTTGCAGAAGTATAGTGCCCTAGTCTAAGCCCAGCATATATTCTGCAGACCTGGTCTTTCAGATTTGAGAGCTGGTACAAAACCTCTGGTCTGTTAGCTCATATGAAAGGCTGTCCATAAACTTAGTCCTTTGAAGGCGAGTGAGCCACTAAAAATCATACCGAAAATATCTTCTTATGAATGGAAAGAGGTAACGTTCCTGATGGTCTTGTCAGCCTTTGTTATAAGAGGAAGTGAAAGCAGCTATAGAACATACAAATCAGAGATCTAAATGGCTTATTACATATTCACTGCTTTGGCATCAGTATGTTTCTGATCAAAGACGCATCAGTGCATACACGTGGTAAGAGCAGACTAACTGGATGCCCAGTATAGAAGAACTGCTGATCCTGCAAGGCTTTACTTTCTAGAAATCAGCCTGTTTATTCACTGGCAGTGAATACTGGACAATATTAAGATTTTTTTTATATATGTGTGCAAACAGTAAGTAATAAGCAGAAACATTGCTTATTTTGTGTAAGTGATAAGAAAGATGTCCATTTCTCTAAGTTTTTTTCCCAGTGTTGCAAAAATTAGTCTTTTAGGCAGTTTCTTGCTATTAATAGGAACTAGCAGCCTTTTATGTGAAATGCTTTATTTAGCTGTATTTCTGTGACTATTTGCAGAATAAAATTAAGTAACTACAAGCTAAGCCAGGCAGACACAGTAAACCTTTTTAAAACAACCTTATCTTCCTTGAGATGGGTGAAAATATAGTCCGCTATCTTCAGTAGACGCTATGCCTTGTGGAATTGCTGCTCAGAACCCAGTAGGTGCATCAGTGATTTCTCGTAAACCACTTTGATCTGAATGCACTTTGATTCTGCAATGGCCACAGGATTATATCTTGATTAGCGAGTCAGCTGCAAACACATAGAAAGGGAAGTGGTTAGGCATTTTGGTGACTTGCTTTACCCCCCAGCGGTGTGACAGCAGACATTGTTATTGCCATTTCAAACGTATCCGCATAGACGTGTAATGGAAGTGATTTGAGACAGCATGTGGAATAGTAAAATTCACATTTCTAAAAGTATAATTCACTTCAAATAGTATTGCCAGAGTTTTAATACAGAATAGGAGTTTATATAATTTATGCAAGTTTTCTTCTGAAGCTTACAGT